TAATTTTGATTGTGTAGTTATTAGTAACTTAGTAATTTAAGTAATTGTTCCTGAAAAGCCCCATTGGGGAGGTAACAATAAAGTATGTATGTATGTATCCCCCTTATAGGTCATTCTAGCCTGCATAGTTTCATTGTGTTGTGCTCTTGGGAAGACGGTTTAGTCTCACAGTGCCTTTCTCCACCTAGGTGTATAAATAGGTACCAACGAATTTAATGTTGGGGTGGCCCATAGACTATGGTCCCATCCAGGGGGCGGGGCAGCAGAAATTCTCCTGGTCGCTTCATGTTACGGAAAGATGAGATAAGCGCCGGTCTGTTCGGCTCCACTAAGCTCTAAAACAAACTCGCAGACACTACTTATGTTGTGTCCCTCCAGCAGAACAGGATGGCTTTTACTGCTGATTGCTGCGTCCGGGCGCAGCTGCCGCATGCAAGAATTGTTTTGTGGTAGGCGCTTCATTTGTTGTTATTACGCTCTGTAATGGTTTAACGCTTCCTCTTCAAATCTAAATGAAACAAAACTCGTCCGAAACACGTTAGTATAAGGAGTCTCGTTTGCAAAAATCTGATTGGTTCACTGGGAGAGATATTGTCATTCGAGTAATTATGATATCGAGTATTATCCTGGAAATCTTGAGGTGATCCGATATTTTCACACTGTAACCAGATTCCACTAAGTGTAGTGGCTACACTGTAGCAAACGCCACAGTCATTAAAATGTTTTGCAATTTAAAACCTTTATTACTCGATTCGTACTGAATTAACAGCAGTATCAAAAAGTTGTACCTGGAAAAGGCACTATTTAAGAAATTTACTTTAAACTAAAACTTCAACTCTGTGTTGTCGATCTATCGACGGAGATGTTGGAATATATACTCAATATATTATTTATATTTTAATGTGCCAGTGCGCAGGTACGCGATTCCACACTCCCGTTATAAAATCTAACTCGGTTAATAATCTCTTCCTATTTATATAAGATCTGAAAAGGCATATATTAAATTTAAGCCCTCATGTGTGAAAAGAATCTTAACAACGCTGCCCTAAGTAGTCCCTTGCAAGGCTCGTCACGTAGATAGAAGACTGCGTGACGACCGCAAAAGAGCGTCTGCGCAAGACGGTGCGAGACTAACTCAGTAAAAGTTTTTTTTTTTTGTTAACTTCTTGTTCACCTTCATAGAGCGGTTTTCATTTGAGTGACGAAAAGCAATTGGTTTTTCACTAACTAAGCTACACGACTGGCTTAAAAAACTCGCGCCAAGTTTTCTTCCAATCAGAAGTAAAACCAAAACCAATCGTAATTCGTTCGCACACGTTTTCCCGCGCTTTGCGTCAGCTACATGTAATTACTTTGAGTTTTGATTGGCTCACTGTAATGTTAACGGCCTTTGTGATTGACTAGAGCGATTACTTTGGTTTTGGTTTTACGACACTCAATTGACAACCGCTCTAATCGTTTCCCCACTGCCTAACCAATTAAAAACCAAGTTAGTCTGAGAGACCATCACGTGCCCACGCGCAGATAAATTGCACGTGCAATTGGACAGCTAAACTGACTGGTCGAAAAGGTTGGAAAACCAACAAAAAGCTATCAAAAAGCTGTCAAAAAAGCAAATACCAGTAAGCCAGTTTCAACTACAACTGCCACCAATATAGGACGGAGGATCCGTCTGGCCTCTTCCAGGCATTCAGTTACTTAGGGCGAAGCACGACAAAAGGGGAGAAGCGCGGCGCGGGAAGACGAGAGAACGCCATTCGCTTTTCGCTCTTTTATTTCGCTCCGTCGTTTTTTTTCTTCGCGCTGTGACACAACTAACTGAGCGCCAGGAAGAGGCTAAGACCGGTGGCAAGCTCGCTTGCGCTTAAGTGATGTATAATAATAAGAATCTTCTTGTGGTCCAGCCATCTTTTCTATTTTCACACCTGTGTATGAAAGTCCTGCTTTCGATTTCTTATGGCTTCACTGTGAGCTCGAAGAAGCTCAAATATCGCTTCGACATCAGTTGAAAATTTACTTTCAAGTCTTTCTAAACAGGAGGATAATTTCTCCAGTCTTTTTTCCATTGTACTGAGCGATTTACAACAGTCCCTGCATACAGGCTGGTCGCACAGCTGTGTTTCTACTTCAGAGGGACTGCCACGCAAACCAGCTTCCTCCCTCGCTACACTTCTTCCACTTTTGGAAGTTCTAACTTCGCTCCCATCATTCGAATGTCTTTCATGTTCGGCCACGCAAGGTATTAAAAAGGATTCTAGAGAAGAATTTCCAGATTTCGATGAAGCACTTCCCTCTTTCCGTTGAATATGATTTGAAGGCAGATCCAAACTGGTCGGTCTTGGTCGAATACCGCTAGTGCCCGATTCCATCGGTCCGTTCAAAGAATTTCTAAGATTTGATTCTGCTTGCCGCTTGCACATTGTACTTGAGTTCCTTGGAGACATTGGTGACTTATCTTTCTCTGAGTCAACACAAACGACATGGTTGTTGACCTTCTTGGTATCGAGGAAGTCCTTAAAAGAAAAATCGCAAATCATTCATAGTTAGTCAGGAAACTCGTACTACCTCTCAAGAGGGTCTCAATAGGGTTAACCGTTAGCTGTAAAACGGGCCAAAAATTTAGCCGTTAGACGTAAAAATTGTTCAGTTTTAACCGTAAGCCGTAAAAAATATTAATCGTAAAACAATTTTAGCCACGAACGTGACAGTCTCAAAATCTCTCAAGACTTTTTTGTGTTTTGTCTCGTGGCAATCAATTACAATCAAACGTTAACCGTAAAAGCCATCACCCCATCGATACCCTCTCAAAATCGTATGGATTCCACGCAGAAACCTTAACTTGATGTGACAACTTGGAATGCGCACGAAATCTTTTGACCAGAAATAAGAATAAGGAAACTCTTCGCGAACACGCTCCTCCTAGGGACCATAATTCTTTTGGTCCGCAACAAGAAAAACAATCTTTCCTAAGAACGCGCAGAGTACTCATTTTCGATAGGTGGCCAGTCAGACTCGAGCAGGACCGAAAAGATCGCGGTCTCTCGGAACGGTGTGAAAGTCTGCGATAAACGAAACTGACCATTACTTCCTTTAAAGAATGTAATGGAAAATGCTGTTCACGAACAACTTTTTAATATTAATCGCAAACTGAAATTTAACTGAATAAATTTTTCGCCGCAAGATTTTTTTTAAAGCATGTGCCGTTGCGTCGCCCAGCCATGTTATGGAGGTCTCTTTACCATACCAGTCGTACTGGCGAAACACTTTAAAAATAGATGGAAATAGTGTAAATAGTCTCTCGGACCTTTTCCGCTTCATCTCCACGCAAGTTGTAGGTGATTTCAAGATCCTTGATGAAGTTCTCTTTGAACAGCGGATACTGTTTTAAGATGTGAAGCACGTCTTCTCTTGTTACAAGGCGCAGCTCACAATACGTTAATGCCCGGATGCTGGCGTTAGAGTTGACTACAGGCCTGTCGGGATCGATAGCGAAGTTTTCACCAAACGAGTCGCCTTTACCTAGAGAAAACAAAACAGAAACAGAGCGGGAGTGAAGGACACCGCTCCCATCAACCAGGTATCAGAAATATATTAAAAAAGGCAACACAAGAGACATACACGACCAAAGTGAATTATTAAAGCGAATTTATTAACCCGAACAAACGTGTATCTTTCACATGGGTGCTTAAGCTCCCCTCTCTCTCGAGTAGGTTCCTTTTTGTTTGCGTTTCCTTGCTCCGGCCAAGACTATTGCCTATTAACCTTGAAAATCCGGGTACATGCCTTGGGTATGTACAACTTTGTAAGGAGTTTGAGGT